AAAAAAAAAAACCCATAAATACTGTGAATTCATCTATTCCATTACTAGAAATAAATCCAAAGTAAGAGTAGGGTTCAAACATGTTCATGGAAATAACATTCACAATAGCCAAAAATGAAAACAACCCAGATGGCTAAAAAAATTTAATGAAATGTGGTCTGTGCATTACAATAGAATACTATTCATCCTTATGAAGAAATGCACCTTCTATGAACCTAGGAGACATTGTTATGTGAAATAAGCTAGTTACAAAGGGACAAAGTGTTTTCACTTATGTTGTAATGCATTATATTGCCATGAATAGGGAGTCTGGTGTGACAGCTATTTTTTTGCTTTATGTATAACAGGTAAGGAGGCCAATTTAGGCTGAGGATTGATCACAAATCACAAATACTAGCACACTGAATTCTAGTCTGTCTTGCACAGAGACCCTTCCTTGTGTCCCACACACTGAAATATGGTCTGACTGAAATACTGATGACTGCGGGTCGTGGTGACTCAGACCTATAATCCCAGCACTTGGGAGGTGGAGGCAGGAAGATCAGGAGTTCAAAGCCAGAATGGACTATAAGAGACCCTGTCTCAAAAACAAAACACACAAACAAAAAAGGAAAAACAAAGAAATATCAATGACTTCCTTGAGGGGTTAGCAGCAGACTGTAAACAACACAAGTTATCCCCAAGTTATCCCCTGTCTCTTCAAGACTCCTAGGCTATGCCCACAGGCACACAAAAGAAGCTGTTTCCTCTCGGGCCACAAAGATGTGACGTGTACAAAGAAATAAGGTTTTATAGTGTGGGTTCAAAGTGACTCATCACGATGTGTACTGTACCACTAATGTCACCACATAAACACATGCCAGGCACACATTGTCAAACAGCAAATATCCTGCTCGATAGGGAGGGGAAATTATGCTCTTATTAAAGTATGAAGAAAAGGATTCCAAGAGACATACTCACCAAAAACCACCAATTTGATTGGTCTGGTTCTTTATGGGACACAGAATAAGCGAATACAGGCAAATCAGGCAGCTTGCTCAGGAATTCTCTGTTCAGTTCTTGAAGTATCTTTTGAGGCAAATCCTAAAGGGTTGAAAAAGTATGTTAGAAAGTTTTTTCTAGTGTAAGTTTCACATGTGCTTGGAAATTGGGGTTATTTTCTTCAGAAAAGGAACTAACATTACTTCAATTACCATGTGCTCAAGAAATCAAGAAATGCCGCCCTTTATCTTATTCTGGAAGAAAAGGAGAATTGTGACAGGAACATGACCAATTTCTTTCATTTTATGTGTTCTGACCTTTACAGCACCTATGACTTCAGATACACACAGTGCTTAGGAAGGAATACAGACGCAGCCCACAGACTCAAAGAAAGAAGAGCTACTGCCTTATATAGAGATAAAAATGTCTAGCGTGGGGCGTCCACCCACCTGTGGACTTATGCTGCACCTCACTAAGAGATCATTACTCTTGTCCTACAGCATCCAGACAGGGTCCCCAAGACCAATGAAACAAGACTCTAGTTATCAACCTCCAATTAATTAGAGTTGGTATGAGAGTGATTTATTATTCCTTCCTAAAATACAGTCAAGAGTCTTTTGAGGATGTCCCCGTAGCCCCCCAGGAAGAGGCCTGTGAAAAGTATTACTTAACGTTCTAAGATAATCTTGAAAGTCATGGTATCAAAGTATTCAAATGAAGAGAATATAAATTTCAAGATAAATGGGTTCAAGATAGTGATTATTTTAGATAAAAGCATCACAGTATATCCTATCCTTTCTCAGAGGGGCTACAGAGATGGCTCAGCAGTTAAGAGTGTTTGCTGCTCTTGCAAAGGACCACAGTTCAAGTCCCAGAAGTCACATGGTGACTTAATAACTGTAACTCCAGCTCCAGGGAATCTGACGCCCTCTTCTGGCCTCCACAGGCACCAGGCACACATGCATTCAAGCAAAATACTCATACACATAAAGCAAAATAAAAATAAGTATTTCTCTTTCTTTCTTTCTTTCTTTCTTTCTTTCTTTCTTTCTTTCTTTCTTTCTTTCTTTCTTTCTTTCTTTCTAAGAAACATTCTCAAAGTAAAAGACTTGGGCTCAATGGTACATTTCTAGAAAATTCTGATTTTCTACAGTGAATCTAAATATAATCTATTTCATGACCGTTTTAATAGTGTTGCACAGATTTGTCACAAAAAATTCCAAGTAAAACTCAGAAGCCATATTTATCACGTGATTTCCTATTCTTCCTGACAATACTAGGTACCACTAGGGTACCTAGTGTGAGAAGTCATGAGTTTGATTTTACTGTGGAGGATATTATCTAAAAACTGTCCTATACAATAGGTAGAAATTACATTAAGATTCATGAGGCAGTTCCTAGAGGAACGTGTTTCTAGAGATTCACTGGTTTCATTAATTCAGCCCAGCTCTACCTCCTCCCCTGTCCATGAAACTGCTGTGGATAAGGCTCACTATATCATGGAGACTTTAGGAAAACCAAATTGGGGGGGGGGGGGGTATTTGTAGATACCGGAAGGAAAAGCCAGAGGGAGCAAGACGCTGGCTCACTTTCATCGTAGGGTGTGTATCAGGGAGCTGCTCACGACCTCAGCACACCATGCAATCTTCCACTGTCTGCACTGCCTACCCTGTGTCTATTTTGCCCCATCTTCTTTCTGTATCTTGTCATTGCACACATAGCTTTGGCTATTTGTTGGTTGGATTTTGTTTTTGGGACAGGGTCTCACGTTATATTCTGAGGTGCCCTGAAACTCATAGAAATCCTCCTGCCTGAGCCTCATGAATGTGAAGATTACAGGCATGAACCACTGCACCTGGTTGCCACATAGAGATTTCTTTTTAACTTTATTGTTATTATGTGTGTATAATATGTGCATGTGTGCATGTGGAGGGGGAGGGTAAAGGAACACAGATGACATGAGAGTGGAAGGTGGAATCCTGGCAAGGAAAAGGAAGAGCAGGGAGGAAGACAGCAATGAGACAGAAAGGAGAGTGTGGGACGGGAGAAGGGCAAGAATCACCAAAACCGGGGCTGGAGAGATGGCTCAATGGTTAACAGCACTGGCTGCTCTTGCAGAAGACCCGGATTCAAAGTTCAGCACCCACATGGCAGCTAACAACTGTCCATAACTCCAGTTCCAGGGGATCTGGTGCCCTCTTCTGACCTCCAAGGTCACTGCCAACATGGGTGCACTTACACATATTGTCAGTATACTCATACACACATTAAAAAAAAAAAAAAAAAGAATCGACCAAAACCAGTATGTATAGAAGGCCATAAGGAAACCTGTTACTTTGTATGCTAATTTTAAAAATTAAGTAATAATAAAAAAAGAATTTTCTGAGCTGAAGAGATAGTTCGGTAGTTAAAAGCACTGGCCATTCTTATAGAGGACCTGGGTTTGGTTCCCAGCACCCACATGGCAGCTAACAACCATCCATATCTCTAGTTCCAGGGGATCTGATGCCTTCTTTTGGCCTCCATGGTCATTGTGTGCATTTACATGGTACTCACTATGTAGATCAGGCTAGCCTCGAACTCACAGAGATCCGCCTGCCTTTGCTGGGACTAAAGGTGTGCACCACCACACCTGGCTTTCTTTTTTAAATTAAGTTTTTGTGAACTTCATAGAATATATTTTGATCAGATTTAGAGCCCCTCCCCAACTGTACTCCTCTTACTATCCATACCCAATTTCATGTATTCTAATATATGTGTTTGTGTGTGTGTATATACATATATATTTGAAAATACAGTCAAATTATATGCCTGTGGAATCTAATTATATGCCTATAGAGTCAAATTTGTATCTCCAAATACCCTTTGGTGTGGGTTCATCCTCTGGAGCCTAGTCAACCTACCAAAAATCTCACCCTCAAATGAGATTGATTCCCTCCTAGAAGCCATCAGTTGCCAATATTTCCTCAGTCAGGGTTGAGATTTCTTACCACTTCCCCACATCTATGCTCGGATTTTGTCTGGTTTGAGCTTATTTGGGACTTGTCCATGTTGTCACCATTGCTGTGAGTTCATATGAATAACTGACCAGCTCTCTGGAAAACTGTTTCCTTGTGGTTGTTCACCAACTCTGGTTCTTAGAATCTTTCAGCCCCTCTTCCGCAATGATCCCTGAGTCTTGGGAAGCAGCAGTTTGATGCAGGTGTCCTATTCATGGATAAGCACTCTGCGGTCTGCATGGTAGCCAGTTATGGTTCTCTGTGTTAATTAACATCTGTTGCACAAAGAAGCTTTTCTGCTGAGAGTTGAGAGATGCATTAATCATGGCAGGTCTGAGAAAGTGCCCACATCTGGGGGCTTACAAGGATCCTAGCAGAGCTGAGATGGGAGGATAAAGGGAGGTGTGGGGATTTTCTTTCATTTTTTGAGACAGGGCCTTATGTAGTCCAGGTTAGCCTCAAACTCACTACATAGCTCAAGATGACCTTGAACATCTTACCTTAACTCCCTAGTCTCAGACTACAGGTGTGTGCCACCACACCTGGCAAGAATTTCCTTATTTGAAAACTGATTTTGTTTTGTTTTAATTTTTAAAGAAAGGTCTTACCATGTAGCACTGGCTGGCCTGAAATCGCTATGTAGATCAAGCTAGCTTCAAACACAGAGATCCACCTGCCTCTACTTCCCGAATATTGGGATTAAAGGTATGCACTACCATGCCTCGCTCAGATTCTTTCTTAAATCAGTTGCCCACTCTCATGGAAGAAGTATATGGTCTTAAGCTCACCAGGAAACAGTGGGGTGAGGACTGGACCCCAGATTTCCAGCTCCCACTTGGCCCCTTGCATTGCTTGACCATGGGCAAGCTACTGAATTTTCTAGGCCTCAGCTTCTTCAAGTGTATAATAGTTGATTACTTATACCTCACATTAGTGTCATTACATGAATTAAAGAGGATATGATATTTGGAAGCATATTTTAAACTGCCAGACTGCCTTCATCCTGGTCACTCCAGCCCACTACAATGAATCCAGCTCTCAATATAGGCAAAATGGTCTTTTAAAATCAGTCAATTGGTCATACCAGCCTCTGGCCTGATCCCCTATACTCTCTTCCTGTCTCCTTAGGATAAAGTCAGTATCTTCCTAATACGTGAAGACTTTCAGTCCTCATGCCATGGTCTCCCATGCTATTCTCAACGTCCCCCACACCCTCCCAGTTCCCCCTCAGCCAGCCTGTACTCTGCCTTAAACTTCACTTTTCCTATGAAGTAGTTTTGTGAATCCCCTGAGACATATTCCCACAATATCACCTGTCATGACAACAGATTGAGCCTTAGGAAACTGCCACATGGAGGGACAGACAAGGCAGCGTTCTGGCAGTGTGACATGGTATAAGCCGATAGTAACTGCTGTAGCCATGCTCATTTGCAACCAAATTAAAATCTTACCACAGCAGAATCTAGATCTGTCTCACATCTAAACCCCAACACCTTATGCTCATTCCTACCCCAGAGTGGGTGCATAACTGCTGAATTAATTATGCTATTGCTGCCCTTTTAATGTTAAGTATCTAGTTTATATAGTCACTGGTCATTAAAATCATGTTTTGGGGGGGCAGCTAGAGAGATGGCTCAGCAGTTATGAACACTGGTTCTTACAGAAGACCCGGGTTTGAATTCCAGCACCCACATGGCAACTAACAACTGTCCATAACTCCAGGTCCAGGGGATCTGACAGCCTCTCTGTCTTCCTTGGGCATTGTATGACACAGGTGTACTTTTACCTACATGCAGGCAATACATGCATATATGTAAAATAAAAAATAATAAAAATTTAAAAACTCGTGTTTTTAATTCAAAAGCTACTATGTTTCATAAGAATAAAGAAACTGAATGGAAAAAATTCATGGTAATATTTTCACTTCCGGCATCTTTGCAGAATTCGAATTCGGCAAGTGCAACACATATCATCAAACCTGGAATTCAGCCCACATGTAAGGTATCATTTATGGACTTTTAAAAAAACAGCTTGAGCCAGGCATGGTGTCGCAGGCCTTTAATCCCAGCACTTGGGAAGCAGAGGCAGGTGGATCTTTGTGAG